CGGTCGGGATGATGCCGGTCCAATTGAGCGGAACTATGCTGAATGGGGACGCATTGTTCGATATGGCGGTGGGCGAATATTGCGCACTTGATATTTCACTTTTCATTCATTCGCGGCCAATTCGTTTGTGCGCAATTTTTCAATTTTCAATTCTATTTTGAGTTTGCTTGCCAAAAAAAAAACGTGGCGTTGGTCTTGCCTTTTTGTTGGCAATTTGTGAATATGTACATTCAGGCAACGCACCAAATGCATGAGCACACAATGAACTTGGAAAGGTTTTTTCAATCTGCCATCATAAATTGTCAAAAATTTTAAGTTGATTTTACATCCGTGTTTACAACTTCAATCATTCAACCAGAAATATTGAACTACAAAATTTTATCTCAATATATGTCATAATTCAGATGTTTACATTGTTATTTTTTGCTTTGTGCTGCAATAAAGCCAATAATAGATCGCAATAAAATTATGAAATCGACCAAAATTAAATCCTAAAATACAATAAATGCAACAAAAGCAAAATTGCGCACTCATGTTGAATGGTTTGCATTCGACAGAAATTACACTAAAACGTGATCAAAATTGTAATTTAATAATAAAACGGCGCATCAATGCGCTCATGCGTTTCGCTGACTATTGTAGAGAACTACGTCAACCGTGACGCTCACTTCTACAAATTGCAATCATATTTATAAATTCAAGCATTTGGTTTGATAATTATTTGTGCGTTTGCTAATTTTCAACTAAACGCAGAGCTTTTGATGGGCAATTTTCGATATTTGCTGTTCCATTCTAGAATTGCTCAGATTATAATATTGTCACGGAAGTGATCATAGCTGGAATATTAAATTATTTTCTCTATTAATGCTTCAGAAATAGTTGATAATACTTGCAATATAATGACATTGTGCAAAATTTAACTATCGATGTAATTGTAAACGTTGTTAAATTTCAGAGAATTAAAAATAAATCTTTTAATTGGGACATGTATGAATTACGCATTAAATTTTTTGCTGTGATTCAAGCACTCGTCGGAAAAAATATAATATTTATTGGCAAGTTTCGAGAACTGAAGTTGATGTTGAATCGAAAATGCCGAACAAACCAATGAAACAATTTTTGACGCGTTATGCAACACCAATCATGAAAAACTTTCAAAATAATGAACAAAATTCGAAGCTATCCACAAAAATTTCGACATTTAGAAGGTGTTTCTAGGTATGTCATAGATAAATTGGCGTTAATGTTGGTAAAATGTGCAAATTATATGACTCTCATACAAAATATGATATGTCACACGGACTATTTCACACGATTTGATTAAAATCCAAAAAATATGAAGTGCCACCAAACCAGCTTGAACCAAATAAGTTTGAATGTGTTGGTAGATGATGTTGCGGCTTGCGAAACGTGCAACAGAAGTGATTTGCTGCTTGTTATTACGCGAAATAAATGCGCCCGTTTCCGTCAACCAACAGGCGACGTGCGACGCTCACATGCAAGCAAAACACAATTTCCCGTCCGAACTCTTCAAAAAAACATACAAACCCACGACTACGCGCCCAACCCCTTGGAAATAACAGCGGTAAGCACATAAAAAAATGAACCGAACCTTCGAACCCCGAACTTCAAATCTACAAGAAAGAAAAGACGCGTTCGCTAAGTTAAAAAAAAATGGAAAAAGTGAGAAAATCGAAGAAAAACTTGTAAACGAGTGAGACGAGTTACTGGTTGCGTTGGGCACGCGCACGTAATTCATACAATAAGAATGGGAACACAGCAATAGCTGCAACAACGCGAAGACCATCATTTATCATCGCGGAAAAATCCTCCGCGCACACGAAAGCTCATTCGGCCGCTTTTTGAAGCAGCATTTTCCCAAACTGTTTCTACTTTTATTCCGTACTGGCTTACACATAGCTTACCATCCGCAATGAGTTTAAACTACATTTAGCCCAAATTTTTACTTGAGATTTTAAAGTAGTAGGTAATGCAATTTTAAAATGCGGGATCATTTTTGAATTATTTTTTGTTGGATTGTGAATTCTTTTCAGTCTACGACGAAAAGCTTTTCGATGGGTTTATAACCCGACTTCCGGACTCAATATCCGGTCAATAATGTCACTTACCTGTCGATCGGTTGGCTCGACGGAAGTCTGTTCAGCTATTCTGGCCGCCCGCCGCATTGTTTATGTGACACACGATGGCGGGTGCGATGGAAATTCAGGGCAGGCGGCGGCGACGGCGGCCAAGATGTCGCATTATTTGCGCGCTCGAACAGTGACTTTCACTTTATAATGCAAATAGCCGACGCGTCTAGGCGTCCTATGCAAATAGAACTCTTTGAGGCAACAATAGTTAACCATCAGCCTCCGTCGACAGGCGACAACCGACAATCAACTACCTGCAATTCTAATACGTGTTTGTCTAATGGCTTTTCTTAAAATATTAATATTTTCAATAAAATATTTTTTCATTGTCAAAACAATTGTATTTTGATATGCACTGATTTGGCGAGTATATAGAGACTGAAGTTAATTAATTAAATTTGTATTGTGTGAATTTTTCACATTTTTTAGATTATCGACATTTGAACATATGTGTTGATCGCAAACAAAAACAGCATCAATTTGTTACGTTTCGTTATGTAAACGCATCAGTAAAGCCGCTTTTGAGATTAATTAGAGAAAAGCGTGGAAGTGAATACACAGGTACCCGCATTTGGAAATATGCGCAGTGTGTACACACAACAAAACAGAGTTCCGCGTAGTTCAGGTGAGCATACAGCGATCGCGGGGCATGTTGCCGCCGTCAGCGAAAGCAAGGGTGGCAGCGGCGGCGGCGGCGTTGATCTCGTTGCCCGCCGGAGAGCAAGGCTCCGATTGCGGATCCAAGCATATTTTGCTTAATTTAATCCAATTAACAACAAACGATTTCTTCATGTGGAAGTTTTCTATTTGTGAGTGCCATCAACGGGCCAACGGACATAAGGGATAATTTACTAATCAAACAAAAATACAAAAATGTATATTTTGTATAACAATAACTATAAATTGTTTTTGTTAATTGAAATAATTGCTAATTGATAATAAGCTAAAATTAGCAATGAATAAAGGGCAAATCTTACGACTTAATTGACCACAATGTATTAGCGCAAATAATATTAGTTTGTTCAGCAATACTAATTATTATTATTCTACAATAGCAATTTAATCCGATTTTACTGGAACTTAACTAGACTAATGATATGCAACTAAATAACACAAAATTTGCAAATCTTTCAAGAACAGATTGTACTAAATTAATGAACCAGCACAGCATCTTATTTATATGCACAAAATTAGTAGCATTTTGTGTTAAAATTGCGGTAAACATATTCTTGGAACTAATTGGAAGACGTAGTACTTTGCTAAGCACTCTAAAGAATAAATTTTACAGTATTGAATTGAGTTTGCAAGATACGCCAAGTTGCTCTTAACAACGAGTGTCTTGTTGAATGCATCTTGAAGCATGAGATGCATATTAATGTAATTAATAGCATCAAAATAAAAATATAACAATAAAATGCAAACTACATTGTTTAAAAACGCAAAATTTTAATTATAAACGCAAAAATAATTTTAAAAATGTGTAACGCTAAAAATCGCTAAAAATTTAATCCTGTACTTGTTTGCTTTGCCAAAGCCCTAGAAACATAACAAACATTAACCTATATTCCACTACCCCGCTCCTGCTAGTATAATCCCCTAGTTTAGATACACCTATCCGGTCCGGAATTTACCCTTTCAGTATTGGTTTGCAAATATGTCGTCCCAGTTTGAACCTGAATCGCTGCCTGCGCTGGGGTAGGAAAACCGTGCCAGTTGACACAGTCATAGTCGTAGACGCTGTCGGAGTTGTCCTAGGAGCAAATGGTGAATATGGAGCAAGACGGCGCAATATCAACCTCACAATAATATCGCCGTAGGACGGCCGCATGAAGGCGGAAGGTCCTCAAGTCGAAACTGCGGCGGTGCTTTCCCGGCTCGCGGGCTTGCAAGCTCTCCAAGTTGAAGCTAATATTGAACCAGTGTAATGATACACACTCAAATGATATTGCTTTACTGTTGCGTCTAACATCACGTTTAATACTACGTTTGAAAGCAGGATTAAAGACTATTATTAAACACGTTAAAATATTTAAAAAATACATTATTAATATTTAGAAAAAAAGCTGCTAATTTACTTTGTAGCACATTTAATTTACTCTTTTATTACGCGGGTATAGGGTAAGAGGGTATTGTCTATATGTAGCAGCCTTCTTTTGTCTGTTTTTAAAGACTCTTTCGCGCGATAGTTGTGAACCTACGATAGAGTATTTTTGGTCCCAGAGTTTGTTGGTAGTAGTTGTTTTTTCCAAGACCTTTCGGGAACGTTTCATGTAATTTAATCAGCAGTAAATATTGCGTTACGTAAAGCGCGCGTTGTGCTGCTGCGGGTCCTGCGCTTCCTTCGGGTTTTCTAGCAAGGATTGCGGCCTCAGCCGCCACCCACGAGAAAAGAAAAAACGGCTGGAGGTCTCGCAGGTGACCCGGAATCGTGCGAATCGTAAAAAGCGTGTTTCGGATGCTTTGCGCCGGGATTTACTTAATAAAAACTATCAGTGAACAACGGTTTGCAGCGCTGCCAAGTAGGATATGTTCAAACTCATGGAAAAAAACTGGAGACATTATTTTCATGGAATTTCAAGGACAAACCTAACACATCACAAAAATAAAATGCATTCTTAGAAAAATAATAAATAAATTGTATTAATCTATTTTTTTTTCATAGTAATATCACTTTTTCTGATTACATTCATTTTTTTAGTTTTATTATTTTATATTACATTAGTTATGTGGTTGCAATAAAAGAATAATGAAATATTGGCTTGCGCACAAGCGCATTGGCAAGTTTTTGCCGGCATAGGAACATGGTGGAGGCGCCAGTGAACGCCGCGCTTGCCGCCGCCTGCCGCCTCCAGAGCAAACGACGCGTCAGTACAATCGGCACCGCAGCGCAACGCAGACGTGTACGTTATTCGCTCCGAGTATCTCCGGCGCTCCCAAACATTTCGTGATTTCTGCCGGCTTGGCGACACATTTCGTGTTCGTTTTGCCTACTCAGGCGGACGCTTCGAGCGTAATTTATCGCGCGTAAATCAGAACCTCTAATGTGTTAAAGTGCTATCTGAACATCAAATGGACGCCACCATTGCGACATAGAACGAGGACATTTATTGTGCTGCAAAAAAAAAACATTAAAAAACTAAGTAACATACGGGGAATTCTTTTTTTGTGCACTCGCGTAAAATGTTTTCGTAACGTTAAAATATTTTTAATTATTGTTGTATACATCTGATCAAAGTATACGCAAAAAATTGCAGATTACAATCGGATTATCACCGATCTATACATAACGTGCAAAAATTTCTAAGCCCATAACATGAATCCATATTCATCCATATTCAAATCAGTGCACGCGATCCAAGCGGATGCGAACTAATTTCATGTGGCGTTCGCGCCAGTGAGGCTTTTGTGCAAAAAATTCGATAGTAAAAAAAATAAACATTAAAACTGCTGTGTGTACAAAGTTGATCGGCTGCGAAAAAGAGATTATTGAGTGCTTGGTTGCGATTTACAGTCAGCGATCTGAACAGTTCACCAGCAACATCAAAATGTGGCCGTTGCGGTTTGCATCAATTTGTGCAGTGATAATTTTTGCAGAATCAGCATATGAACGCATAGGTAAGTAAATTTACAAAAAAAAAATCATTAAATTTTTTAATGAATTTAATTTAAAAAATTTGTTTCTATGTTTTTAAATTTATTTACATAAGTATGTGCGCACGTGGTGTAAATTTTTAAAAGTGTCCAACAAAGTTTCATTTCTTTTGAAAAACTTTCGCAAGCAACCAGCAGCGTCGCATTCGCCAATACCGGACTAAACGCGTTCACATATTGTACTCTGTTACTGTTTGCTGTTTGTATTTGCGTTCAAGTCCTTAGTCCTGCTTAGTCCCGGCCTGTTTTGATACTGTTGTTGCCGCTACGTTGTGAAACGTTTTAGAGTAAAAACGAAAACAAGCCCAAAAGATTCCGAGCGCGAGTTGCAAAACTTTCTTTATCAGAAGAAACCAGGAACAGGAGCACCAGCCGAAGAAGCAAACACTAACAAAAAGAAAATAGAAGGAATAAAGAGAAAAACCGAACGCGTTAGGGACAAAAGAAGAGAGAGTAAGGAATCAACAGCCAATAAACAAAGTTGATTATATTTTAGCTCGGTGAATGTTGGAAAGTTGACATGAGATAAAGTTTCTACCTATATCACTCGCTAACAAGCTTTTGGGCACATGGCAGCTAAACAAGTGAAAGAAGAAGAAGAAGTTGAGTTGAAGTTTCAATTTAAAGAAACCTGTAGATTTATGTTTAACTAGTTTTAAACTGATTTCAAAATATATCAACAAAGTCGATTAAAGTTTTGAAATGTGCTTCTATTTTTGCAAAATTTCTGAGCAAACATGTAAAATATTTATTTATACATTTAGAAACGCATTAGTATGGCTGAGATCAATATCACATCAATAAATGTGGAGCAGGCTTGTCAAATATATTACACCTCATGCATCTATATCAATCACTCTAAGCTGGCACCAATGACATAACCATAAAAGGCTAGTAAAAAATATAAAAAAGCGCTGTAGGAAAATATATTTGCGAGAAACTCAGTATGTTTTAATTAATGATTGGATATGCTGAATTTACAGCTGCAAAAGATAGGCATCAACTAGAAGTGTAGTTTGGCATGGCATTAGTGCCGTTAGAAAACATTTACCACTCGCCACGTTTGTAATCCTCAAAAGCGACTGCACGAGCAAAAACCTTTTGCTAGCATACGCAAACACGTCGAAACACTGTCGGATGTTGGAAGCTGGAGAATAATTTCAAACGCATTCGGTCCGTTTTGGGTCTTGCATAGCAGTACCAGACGAATGTAAAACTGTCATTAATATAAAGGGATAACAAGGGGCCAGTTGCGCTGAATATAATATTCTCATCTTTCAGGCAGCCGCTCGGTTCTGGTCATTGTGGTTTACCCCTGCGTAAAAGGTTGTAAAAAATGACAAATGCTTACGACATCACGAAGGGTTAAAATCGCTGATATTTTATTCATAATTTCACACAATTGTATTTTTATTTGCGCAAAAAATAACAATTTAGGACTATATCAGAAATGTGGTGATGCTGAATATAATTTCATTCTACAACCAATGAAATTCTTACGCAAAATAATAAACACTAGCATAAAAAATAATGCATCCTCTTATTGCACATTATTAGGAAAATGCATACCGGCGAATTGTGAGCGCGAATAAAATACTGCATATTTATTCACACGACCGTGGAAGCTCTTCTGATTACACGCACATAGAGACCGAAACACGAACTGCAACTGTAAATGAATATACAATGTAATAAACGTTCTTTTTACGGCGGTGCGCGCGTGCGAACGCGCAAATTTATTATATTTTTCTGTTAGTCGAGCGAAACTGTAAACGCGCGATTGTGGCAAGTGAAATGCTGGAGGCGGCTAGCTGAGCGGCAATATCGCGTTTGCACATTTGCTTGTTCAGTGTTTTTGGCTTAGATCCGCGGACTGCGTTGTGAACATATTCAAATCCTGGCTACACACGCGCCAATTGTGTAAATGCCGGTAGATATCCATTATTGGCAGTAACTAGCATCCTGATAAATGAATATTTAAGCATAGAATACTCAGATGGATCCATTGTTAATACATAGGCTTTGTTTTATTCCAAGAATTAATATTCATTACCTATATATGATGTTTGAATTTTAGGTATAATTATACGCGTTGCATTATTTTTTCTGCAAAATATTTTGATATTATTCAATCTAATTTCGTTAAAAAATCAATAATATTACTGGGTATAGGTAATTTTATTAAAAGCATAATGTGCTATAAATATTAACCTCAAATTTAATGCCTATTTTCAAATATTTCTGCATGATTAAACGAAAATTTTAAGCTTAATATTAAAATTGTAATTTAAAACGATTTAATATTATTATTTCGATTTATATATAACCAATTTAAATTTATTTATTCAGGTTTAGAGTAAAATGTTGGTATACTGCGCGATCACACACAAAACCATGTTTTAATTTGATACATCTGCAAATGATGAACGCCCAAAAAGACCATTATTTATTAATTTATTAATAAAATTATTACATGTTATTTTTGGATTTTGGTAAAATAAAGCAAATTCATCGGAAACACATCAAGCTGATGAAATTGGTTGGAATTATATAAAATTTCAAACGAATGTAAGCCGATATCTTAAAAGCATAAAAGCATGCGCGTATTGATGGCCCCAAAAAAAGTCAGAAATTTCAACGAAAATTTATTGGCATTGGCGTTGCTCACTCACTGGAACTCGAACTCTAATACAAAGTTGAACAATTCGTACTGCTTCCAGAAGTATAGAATTTCAAATGTGAGTGCACAAAACAAAAAACATTGGAAAAGCATCCGAATAAAAAAGAATATAAGGAACAAACAAAGACAACATACGAGTGTAAATACACTCTACCAAAATTGAGATTTTATTTATTTTGCAACTGCAATCCAAAATATTGAAAACAAAAAGGCACATTTGTGATAAATTTATAACTTTAATAAGTGTCCTTTAATAACTCATTACCTTGAATAAATTAGCTATCAAATTTGGTGCAAAACTCCTCGAAAGTATTGATAGCTTGATGGCCCTATATTAAACAGTCGGGCTTTGTAATTTTTTTATTCAACATGCATAAATTAGTTCTGGAGCGTATAATATTCTCCGGCTTCGTGAAGTTCTGATGTTCTAACATTGTAATAACGTAATACTGCACCAAACTCGCCATCTTGGAATATACGAGTATCGATACTCAAAGGTTGCTCTTAATAATTTAACCCATCCTTCTTGCGCATCTTGCGCGGTTTAATTGATGCGCCAGACTTGCATACACATTACGTCCACTTGACAGAAACGTGGAAGGCATGTAAATTGCCGGGAAGCGTCAATAGCGCCAAGCAAACTCCCCAAGTTGCTCAAAACTAGGCGATGTGGTTGTTTCGAAATACAAAATGAGAAAAAATAAGATAGAAATAAAATTTATAATTTTGCCAATGTGTATGGTTTTTTATATTTAGATAGGAATATCTACAGGTAAAATTAAAAAACAAACAAATGCAAATACTTCCACCGCACAAACCCACAACAACGCCAGCACTTAGGACAATGTGTTGCCGCCCCCACCACCAGCTCTACCAAATTGCATTGCAAAATGCATTTGTGGAGCAAGAAAATGTCTGCAATTTTCAACGCTGGTGCTGTTTGCGCAATTTTTACAATATCCGTTGTCGCGTTTTCGTTTCATCTTGGGGACTTCGCCACTATTGATATCAATAAACACAATTTTCATCAACAAAAAATTAAAAGTAAGAATAGAAAAATTTTGCAATATTTATACAAAGTGTTTTTATGACATAAAAATATGAAAACTCATAAAATAACAAATTTTGCGTAGACATTATTTTTACATTAGCAATTTTATTAGACCTCCTTTTATATTGTCAAATTCCGATTTAAGATAGAACCTAAAACCGTCGGTTTGCGGTCGACAAAGATGTTTGAAATTCAAATCGATGCAAAAAGGTGACAAAGCTTTTGCGCCGCCTCCGTCGGGCTGCTACCGTCGTCGCCTCATACTTATCATCTGCATATTTGTCATTTTTTGAATCTTTCCGCATTTCCAGCTACCTTTTGCTACTGTCTAGCACATCCCTCTTTTATTGACGTTTCTCGTGTCCTTAAAAATTGTTTTTGCAAGAAATAAATAATATTTTTCGTCGATTTACATTTCCACTTGTGTTTTTACTTATTTAACATGTAATTTGCATTCGTTGCATGGAAATTCCGAGCATATATTTGTTTGCCAACGAATGACATATATGAATATGAAGTGGAATTCTAGGAATTACATTTGTTGCGTTCATTTTTAGTACGTTGATGAGCAATTATTAAATGGATCATTGTGACATAGATTAATATCAACGATAAACAATTTTATTATTATCGAATAAACGTTAAATGTTTGTTTGCGTATATTTTAGTTTCATGATGTAATTTAATTAGCAAATTGAAAGCAATATCGCGTATTTTTTAAACATGTAATAAAAAAACATTTTATATGATTCAATTTGCAAACCAATTAAACGCCGAATTCTCTGATATCTAATTTTTTGAATTTTGATCAATATTTATTGCCTAAAAATATAAAAATATCCAAATACTGAAAATGTTTCCATATATATTTATTAAACGAATGTAACTTATTACGAAACAAATGTAATATGTCACAAAACGTTACTTGAAGTGTTATTTTATTTTTGGTCATGTAACTAGCATTTTACTGAAACGCAATAAACTATTTCATTCGTCGAACAACGAATAACTAGTCCATCTCGCCCTAGGCTTGTAGAAGCAAAGTTTGTTCCTGCAATCAATAGCGTATACCTACCTTTTAAAATTGTGTAGTATTATGTTACATTAAATACTCTACACATCGATACCAGGTTTATTTCTGTCTATTTGTTTTGAAACTTTGTTCTTTTGCCAGTTGGAGGTATTAAATCTTATTATTGCCTGAAGCGGCAATATTTTTACAAAATCACATTT